CGCAATAAACGCAACTTACAAGAGCATACGACTTGCCATCTTTTGTGTCAAAAATTTAACTGTTTCTGTCGGGGTGGCCTGGGTGTAAGTCAACCCCCGCCGGAAGTAGTTTGGGCTCTCCCCAGTTTCTCCCACCTGAGTTTTCAAAATGGCCGCTCAATGAATTCGAAGCTGCGATACGCAGATCCTTATGCCAGAACTGTACACATGTCTTGCCATGCAAGAGGAACAGATTCATCATTGAATTTACACAGAAGAAAAGCTTGGTAATATTTCTTTAATTTAACGATGATTCAGTTAAAAAGCGATAAAACGTGAAGTCAACTTTATTCTTTTGAGCTTATATCCTTTGGTCGCCAAATGGCGACTTTCGCCGATAATTCAGTCGCCAATTTTTTTTTTCACTCGCCATGGCGACCAAAATGGTCGCAGCTTGGAGCGCTGTGATTACAGACCGAATTGGACGACACGAAGTTCTGTTACAAATAATCATAACTATAATAAAATTTGTGATATAATAGGCTATTTTTTAAATCAAAACACAAGAAATTCGAAATTTTGTTTTGCTAGCAGTAAAAAAAAAGCCATTTAAGCGCGCGCGTGATGGCGCGTACTGTCCAATTATTTAGGCATGACGCGTACTGTCCTATTAAACTGTCCAATTAAGGCTGAAATCAGGGCAGTTGATAGCCAATCAGATTTGACAATTTTGTTATAGTTATGATTTTACTTTCAATAATACTTACTTTTACTTTAGGATGCAAGGATACAAGAAGTGACAAAAGAATTCTGTGAGTGGGTAGCTGGATTGGTAAGTATATATCTGCATTGTGAAGGCCACAGTTTACCAACCGTTTAATAACAGTCCTATAACAGTCCTATTCATACAATAAAATTTATCATATTTCAATTTGAACGGCAGTCTGGTTATTACATTTTGCATTTACTTCCTTATTAGGGTGGGCAAAGCAATAACATTGAAGAATCAACTGTGATGAGCCTTTTCGCTAGTGGATATGAAACAAAGGTTGGTTTGACAAATGCAGTACATGATAATACTGGTGTTAAATTCATTCGCTCTTACTGGGCAAGAATACCATACATTATGTATGGTATTCTAATTTTGTATTTGTAACAAATCTAAGTGCTTGTAGAAGACCCTGTTATGTGATAATTCAAATGAAACCCCTCAGTGGAACTTTCACATGCTATTTCATTTTTTCTAAGGTTTTAGGAAACAAAAACTGGTAATTTTCATTTCTAATGGCCAATAAATATTATGGAAACCCCTGGAAAGAAAGTTTGATTGGCTTAGAGCAGTGGTATTTCAGCTTAATTTGAAATACCTACATCTGAAAATTACAAACCCTTTGAGGGCAGTATAACAGTATAAACAAATAATAGCATGATTTGTACGTGATATTTTGCATAAATACCATTTGTGATATTTCAAAATTGTCTCAAATTTCAATCACCTGATGGCTCGTGAAATTACGTAAAATAATTTTGAAATATTGCTCATGATATTTCCTATACAAATTCTCTCCTTACTATTCTCACATGGTGTAAGTGTGTCATGAGAGAATAAGTATAAGATATAAAGTAACACCATCATGCATTGACAATCTCCTGGAAGCAGAGGGCGGAGTAGACCATGGAGATGTTGTGTAACAGACATCTGTGAATGGACACGGAGTACACCATCTCAGGCTATCAGGCTTGCTGAGAAGAGAGACTTAAGAATAATCCAACATCAGAGTGCGTCTACAGATCCTGAGAGATCTTTGGCGTATGTAAAAGAATAAGATAAAGTAATGTTTTTTATCATTTTTTTTTTTGCAGCCTGCACTGTCAGTACCCATCCATGTTGTTGAGCTCACAAATGTTCCACCAGAATTAAGAATGAATACAGGGTCACCATTACCAAAACCACGTGACACAAGACAAGTTCCAGAAGCCGACAAGGATAAGGTAGGATAAAAGAACTGCCCTTGAAAAGTGGTGAAGAACAAGAAATGAGGGTGGTGATGAGGATGAGAGTTAAATGACCATGGGAAAGCGTTAACTGTTTAAGCCCCAATAGTGACCAGCGACTAATTTCTCTCAACGATAATACTGCCTGATCAAACAGACAGGTCATGAGAATTAATGAAATGATCACCAAACATGACATGTTGTGATGTTACAACAAATTCTCTCAAGCAGTACCATAAGGAATGTATGAAGAACAGTGTGGAGAAGATGCATGTTGATGTTGGGGCTTAAAGGGTTAAAATGTTGTCAGTGCCACTAACAAGGATGCTTAAACACAATCTCATAATAGCCTGCGAATAGAGCCATCCATCCTTGCTGCCAGGGACACATCTGCATCAAATAACAGAAATGGCACACCGATGACATATAATCTGTCCAGAATCTGGTCAGGGGCTCTGATTTGTTGAAGTAGTCAGGGTTCTCGTTAAGTGCCGGCAGCCAGCTAAAAAACCGGCTAGTTGAACGTTTGAGCCTTCTACTTTTTGGGGCAATAGGGTAAAGTGAGAAAGTGAAATCCTGAAGTTGCCTACAGCATTTAGTTTCCAAGCTGCCTATATTTACATCATAGCTGTCCACTTTAAAACTTAAGGAGAACCCTGTGTAGTAAATATATTCTTTTAGCCGTTGTTTTTGAATGACAGACAAAATACAAAAGGTCACAAGGTCAAATGTAAACATAATAAATCCACTACAAAACAGTCAGTATTTGTGGAATATATTCTTCTTTAGATGAAGTATTTGAGTTTTCCTTCACTTGTTGCAGAAAAACTCAAGAAAGAAACATAAAGTCGAAAATTTACATTCGGAGCCCCATGACCACCCGATCAAAAAAGTCATCAGTATGGTGTTTGTATCATTCTAGTGCAGACGCTTCTCCTGCCAAACCTCCCTTGTGGTGAGGAGATAGGGAGACGGCTGTAATCACAGGGTAACACTTAAATGGATCAACACAGATTGTCTTTTCTGTGGCAGTTCATGTCATTCCTAGCCTGCGTAGCTGGCGGTATTGTGTGGGTGCAAGATTAACGTTTTGGCGGCGGAGCCGTGTTCCAAAAAAAGGGAGTAGGGACGAGCTACGCAGGCTATGTCATTCCTGGCTTTTTAAATAACAAGTGCCATTTTATTGTGACTCCTAGCAAGCCAAAGGCAAGTATGTTCCAAGTTGGGTGAAAGTGAAATATGGTGCATGGTACCTGAGTCCGAAGACATGGAAAGCTCGGCCAAAGGATGAACCATTACAAGATCCTAAGGAACAACAAGATAAAGCTTTATCAGAATCCAAAAAGAAAAGTCATAAACTGGTAAGATCCACAGCCTACACTAGCGTACCCATAGATTCCATTAATGAATCGATTATTTGCTAACCTGTATCAAATTCAAATCAGCATTCCTGCATGGGTAACGAGTAGCAAATTTTGGCTACAAGTCCTCAGTATTTGGTCAGATTGAAAGATCTTTGAATGGACAGAATTGCTTTGAAGACATTGACATGAAATTCAAGAAACCTGAGGCTGAGCTGGCAGAAATTTCATAACTACCTCGTGTGAACTCTCTTCTCATTACACATGCAGGGATGCAGAAATGAATCTGAAGTCTACAACTACAAATGGATTCAACTTTCAAATAATATATTCTTTAATGGAATCTTAGCTTGACTGTAACGTATAAGAAAAAAGTCCAATGTAATGTTCATGTATGTATAAAAACGTTTTTGAAAGAATGCAAAAAAGGTTAGAAATACTTCTTTAGCAAGTCAAGATTATTCCCTCCATTCTTGTCCTTTTATTAGCTGTTGGCTACTTTTTGATAAAAAAAACAATCGCCAGTGTGCTGTATTGCGATCCCTTTTCGAAAGTTTGTCGCTACGTGGCAATGCAATAATTTTACAAGTTTAGTTGTAATGGGATCCAGAGATTACTGCTTGGGACTGTTAAAGAAAAAAAGTAATTTAAATATGTTAAAATTAATTTAGAAATGATTACCATTTCTGTTGTGAATTTCTGATGACCATCTTTCTGTAGGATGCTGTACTTTCAAGCATGCATGGAGCAAAGGCTTTTAAAGAATTTATAGACAAGAAAAACACCAGAGTACCAGAATTCCTTGAGGCTGTGTCTGATCAACAAGAGCAAGTCAAGGCTGAAGCAGAAGAGACACAAGAGAGAAGGAAATCTCGCTCCATTAGCACTCAGCATACACAGTTTGGAACGTCACAGAACTATGTGTTCTGATTTTAGATACATCAGTAGAAAGATAATGCCAGACCTTTTACTGATGCTTAAAAGAAAAATGTGACTGGAAAAAATATTGCCTCTTGCATTTGTACAGATACTTGTTTTATTCTTTTGACATTATTTTAAATGTAAATAGTTTTGTAAGTATACATTGTATAGAACAATATTTATTGTAAAATACTAGAATCATAATTATATTCTGGTAATAAATTATTATTGAAAAATATCTGACCAGATCCTTTCTTGGAGAACAGTGGAGAAAACCTTTCGTGAAGACTGAATAAAAGTTATTTCCACATTCACTTTCCCACAATAAATTAGCATGACTCCTGCTTTTATCAAATTAACTGGTGTTGTGAGCATAGAAAAGTGGAAAGTGCTTCAATTCACAGGGACACCCAACGAGAATATTGTCCTAGCTGAAAGTCTAGTGATCTGAAAATTATAGGGATCAAAACTTACCTTTTCGAAAATTCCAGCCAGAAAAAAGGCTCCCGAATATTCTAGGTGACCTTTTTAGGGTAAAAATCCAATAAAAATAGGCAATTATACCATTTTTTAGATGTTCGAAAATCCTAGGAGAGGCAGGCAAGCAAGAAATTTACAACAAAATTTAATGTTCCGAAAATTCTAGATCTCAAATCGTCTTCTGAACAGATATTTTCCGAAAATTGTCGTTGCGTGCCCCTCAATTCAGGGTTATTTCTTCATCATTTCTTTTAACCCATCAAGGTTTTTAGGTCACTGCAATCACAAAAAGTCCTGAAACTAAGCCAGCTGCTAATGACACCATTAGAATGGTAAACACGTGACGCTGGAACCAGGTTGGTTCTACTGTTTCTTCTACTTGTTTTCTTGGTCTTCGTTTCTTTCCACGCTGTTTCCTCTCAAACCACTCAAGTTCCTCCTGCAAGAAAAATTAATATACGCAATTCATAATCTTGGAATTTCTGTGTTTCTTGGTTATCCTGTGGAACCCAAAGTGGCCATTTGCAGCAAGTTCCTGCATTTTCAGCTCGATTTTGAATAAATTACATTATATGTGCACATGCATCACCCTTAATGCATCACCCGGGTTCTAGCCTATGCGCAGGCTCTTATGCAATCTCGTTCCCAGAGGCCGCGAACCTTTTGTACAGTAACAGGGGGATGCCTCTTCCGCTGGAGAAAAGTAATGGAGGCTCTGGCAATGAGATTGGCTCACTTGTGCGAGTTTGGTTCCATCAAGGACAACAAGATGACACATAACATGTCAAAAGCATGGAGTTATTTGAGTGTGCCAAATGATATGAAATTTGGAGTTGTTTTCGAAGCGGGTTTTATTGCTGAAATAGCGATTCTGCCCCACCTTTCTTGGTGTTGCTACATTGTTAGGTCGAGATGTTATACCGGGTCAAATTGGAGCAAAGAAAAAGAAACGAGAGTCAAAGATCACAGGAAAAATGGGGCAAGTAAAAGAGTGGTGTTGGCTCTCGTTCCATTTTTCGCGTGACCAAAGCTGAAAATCTTGTTCCTCGGTCTTTCTTTGCTCCGAAACCACATGGAAATGCTTGCTACACAGGCTACGTGCCTGTGGTTCTTGAGGCCCTTCAATCCCTGCCGTTGTTATTGCTGTTGTGGTCCTTGTGGTCATGGTAGTTGTGGCCATTGTGGCCCTTTTGTTAACTGGAACACTCTTTATTACTTCTCCTGAGTTTAGAAAAATTTGTCCCAAAAAGTGAAGCCATAAATAATGAGGACCTTATTGAAATAATTGCTTAACTAAAGACAGTATAGAACTTATTCAGTCTTCTACAAGATTTGCTAGCTCTGGAAACTAACCATCTTAGAACAAGTATTTTTTTTTCTGACAGGTGCATGAGTAAAAGTAAAGAATTGGCGGAAGGATCAGCGGTAGGAGAGAAGAATTTATTACCTGCTGTGCTTTACGCTCTTTTTCTTTTCTGATTTCATCTTCCTTTGAGGCCAGTTTCTCTTCACTTGCTTTAAATGCATCACAGTCTTTGTCACAGTCCATTTTAGCTTCACCTTTCTGGACCACATGGCAAGGGAAATCCTTAAGAAAACACATAAAGCAGAAACCTATGAATCATTTTTATCTGGAATGCTGAACAAGACGTTCTGTAATTAATCTGTTATTACTAATGATAATAGGACTGGGTGGAGTCCAATTCTGTCTGTAATCATGCGAGTGATTAACAAAATCGGACGACTGCGTAGTATTTATATAAATCAGGACAGTTGATAGCCAATCAGATTTGAGAAATTTGCTTTAGTTATGATTGACAATATTATTTTATGGGGCTGACTTACGCAGAGGATGTCGAGGCCTCGGAGATCTGAGTAAATCTTCATATTACACAAAAGCTGGGTCCAATAATTGATTTATTTTTAAGTTTTTAACAACCTTACCTCCTCGTAGAGTTTCTTCAAAACATTAGCCTATTTCTCAGCACAGTTTCAGGATATAAACAGATTTTTTTGTCACAGAGATTTCTCAAAAACTAGATGAAATCAATCGAGTAATATTTTTTGCACTTTCTTAATCACGCTGACCAAAACTATGAATTTTTTGATTGACTGTTGAACTACTAAACTAAAACTCCTTTCTTGTCAGTCTGACCTGTGATTGCCTGATTAATGGTTGGGTGTTCCCTTTGGAGTTAGTTACACTGTAAACATTGCTTTGACTTTGGAAAAAAAGCCTGAATATTCTCTCCTCTACTCACAGATACCAACAAAGTTCATTTGGAAGTAAATATATAATTGCAGGAAACAGATAGCTTGAGAAACTCTTTGGAACATAACTATTCATAACAGATACCGTAAAATTCCAAAAATGAGCCCCTCCATGTTTAAGCCCCTCCAAATATAAGCTCCCCAAACTCGTAATGCAAAAACCCCTCCGTTAAATTGCCCCTCCAAATCTAAGCCCCCCGGGGCTTGTACTTGGAAAATTGCCCTGAAATAAAAAGTAAAACAAAGCAAAAACAGTAAATTTACTTCCAACTATAAGGCTAGCCCAATCGATTTTGAAACGCAAATTTCCCTCCATATAAGGGCCTTTAAAAAATATAAGCCCCGGGGCTTATTTTTCGGAATTTTACTGTATTAGATTAAAAACAAACTCACTTTCTTTTTCCGTCTGCAAGGACATCTTACAGCAGTTTTCTTGCTACATGTCTTGGGTGAGGGACAGGAACCGGCATGGCATAGNAACAAAGTTCATTTGGAAGTAAATATATAATTGCAGGAAACAGATAGCTTGAGAAACTCTTTGGAACATAACTATTCATAACAGATACCGTAAAATTCCAAAAATGAGCCCCTCCATGTTTAAGCCCCTCCAAATATAAGCTCCCCAAACTCGTAATGCAAAAACCCCTCCGTTAAATTGCCCCTCCAAATCTAAGCCCCCCGGGGATTGTACTTGGAAAATTGCCCTCAAATACAAAGTAAAACAAAGCAAAAACGGTAAATTTACTTCCAGCTATAAGGCTTGCCCAATCTATTTTGAAACTCAAATTTCCCTCCATATAAGGGCCTTTACAAAATATAAGCCCCGGGGCTTATTTTCAGAATTTTACTTTACTAGATTAAAAACAAGCTCACTTTCTTTTTCCGTCTGCAAGGACATCTTACAGCAGTTTTCTTACTACATGTCTTGGGTGAGGGACAGGACCCGGCATGGCATAGAGATGGGCAGCGGTGACCACACGCAGCAAGGTTCTTTGGGCACTGATTTTTACAGGATGTTAGATCATTACGTGTTTGTTCATCTGATGAAGTCAGCTCGCTAAAATGAATGGAAGTTGAGGTAAACAGTGAGAAAAATACAAATGGGCATAGAATCCCATTCAAATGAGGTGGTAGGTGACCAGTGGGAATATAATCTTCAGTAAAAAGTACTTTGTATCACTGGCAGAGAAAAGAAAAGTTCCACTGAGACTGTTTGAAAAATTATCTTTCTTACATATTCACTTGGCTCTGAATTCACCATCACACATAAGCACACATCGGCATTCTTGTCCTAGCAGTACTTCTACTTATGCAGGATTTTTGTGACATGAACCTAGTTTAGTAGCCTTGGCCACTAAAATTGTCATCCACAGTTCATCCTATCTGGTATACTACAGCACTGGGAACATTGACCATCAACATCAAGAAAAAAGTTGTCTGCATTAACACATGTCCGTATTACAGTCAACCGGGAAAACTGTAAACACCAAAAATATTTCTGGAATGTTATTGTGATGTGAGAAAAAAGCCAATCAGGCATGAGAAAACTAAACTGCAAGCAAGAACATTAATCAGGAAATGCTTGCTCGCATGTGCTGATCTTTGCTGTGATTAGTCGTAACACAAAATGCATTCCTGAAATATTTCAAGTGTTCACGGTTTTCCCGGTGGCACTGCAAGTGGGTTGAATTATTTAAGAGAAAATGTAAACTGCTTTCCTAAAGGAAAAAAAAAACTGTCTGTAATAACGAGGTGACTCCGTATTAAGTGGGTGTCTATAAAGCGGGGTTCAACTGTATCTTATACAAAATCTAGGAATTGCTGTATCATAAAGCGTTATGAAAAAAATGCTAATAGCTGTGGGACAATAGAGTCCCTAAGATACACCATTTCTGGCTATGGGTACAGGTAGGTGCTGGTGGACATGTCTGCTACGTAGTTATTTAAAAGGTAACCATGATTTCCCAGATGTGATAAATGCATCACCATCCTAACCTGTAGCCTGGCCATTTCTCTGGGGTAAGAAGTTAACCTAGCCATACACGCAGGAATGGTGTATCTTAAGGTCTCTAATTACAAATTAATAAGATGTTTGATACCTGCAAGACACATAAACTGGCATCAGTCTGCAGTGACATAACAACTTTACCACCTGTTTACAACTTGGACAATCACCTAAAATAAACAATCAATATAAAGTCAGCCTCAATTCAGTTTTCACATGCAAGAATCATTTTAAACATTGCTGCAGTTTCTCTCAGAAAGCTAACATTCATTATTCTTTTATGACAGTTAAATTGTCACCTTTGTGACATGGTAGTGGACAGTCATGGGTGCATCCTTCTGGGCGTGGCTTGGTGCAAGGTTCCTCGCAAACTTGACATTCCCTACCAGCCTATACAACAGACAAAAAAAATTACTGGTAAGTGAAATGTTCTCAATAACTATAATTATACTACTGTTATTGACTACAGTTAATATAGTGTTGAGGAATTGAGGACTATTTTGGAGAGCACTTTAAGACAACAGGTACAAAAAGCAATACATTTATTGTTATTTATTATTTATTAACATGGCTCAGGTTTTTAATAAAGGGTCAGAAAGATTTGTAAACATGAGATGATTTTGTTGTTTTCATTAATTTTTGCCTCAAGGGGGTTTAATTTCAGAAGGTCACTAAACACTGATCTAAATTCTTCTGAAAAGTACAAGATCAGTATACTGATAAAGGAACTATGGGCAGATGAGGTTTTGTTATTGAAAAATAAAGGTGCTGTAAATCAACAATAATGTAAAATAGTGTGATTTAAATTAACATAGATGTAAATTAAGATGCATTAAATTAAAGCAATTTTTTAAAATCGCATTAATAAAGTGCATCATTAATTTCCTATAAAAAGGTGAGTGGCAGTTTATGGTACTCAAGGGGAGACTGGAGGCTTGAATAACTCACAGTGCACTTCTTTTCTGTCCGGGGCGATATGTACTGAAAGGTGAGGATGTATTTCCATAACTTAACACTTAACCTACAGTAATTAATGCTATTTTAATTACTCATACCTCTTGGTCATTCGTGGCTGCCTCACTGACAACATGACACTCCAACTGACATGTGTGGTTTCCACATGGCAACTGTCGTCCGCAGGCTTGTGCACAAGAGAATGGTTTGGCAGAGTGACATGGCAGGGTGGAGACCTATGACAAAGAAATTTATTCTTAGGCTTTTTTATATTAATAAATAATTTATGATAAAACACTACACTTAAATTTTGAAAAACCCAATATTATACATGTAGACCACATACCTCATGTTTTCCAAAGCAGCTCCTATCATAATTTAAAAAGAATATTAAATGCTTAATTGAAACATTAAAAAGTAAAGTATGGAACATTACACATGCTGGGCTTATTGTTGACAAATATATTTTCCTATTGAAGATATCCTTTCACACTCAAGAGTCCACCTGTTTGAGTATTTTGAATGACATATTATGACAGTTATAAATAAATTACAATGATGACATTTCTCTTAAATTTGTAAATAAAAATTTGTCTTTTTTAAGTAGGTGTGACACTTCAAATGAAAACTACATTAGAGTTTTTTCCTAGAAAATGCCACTGTCTAATAATAATAATCTTTATTTCACTAATAAAGGTATATAACAAGTGTTACATGGCCTTTATAAAAATAACTAGTGAGTAAAAACTTAAAATGCAAAAATTGCATTTTAATTCCTATCCTAGATTATAGCTAAGTCAATCTAAAAGTGCTCAGCATTGCAGACTGGAAAAGTGAATTTGACATGTCTAAGCCTAAAAGTACAAAATGTTGCTGGATTGATTCTGGAAAGTGATTGAAACAAAGGATGTCCTTTGCCCTCACTTAGTTTGTTTATGTGTTTATCTGACTTAGGGCCTGTTTACATGGAGGCGGGGATCACAGGTAGATGAGGCAACATTTGGCGGGTCACCCCACCTATCATGTAAATGTGATCAAATTAAAATGAGAGATTATATCATCATGGACAGGCGGGTTACCTCACCTACCTGGGGTCCCCACCTCCATGTAAACAGGCCCTTAACTAACCAATATAAATGGAAAATGGAAATGGGAAAGGAGGTCTGGCTGGGTCAGAGTGCACAACTACTCACTTTTCAACTGGAACAGCACATGGTGGGCATGGCATCGGAACAAACTCAGCAGGATTTGAGGCAGACTTAAACCCAGCTGGCCAACCATTGAGTGGTGTCTAAAAATAACAAGCTCAAAAGTTAGTCATGCAGACTAGCACAAATGTAATAAAAATTTAACTACTGCAAACAGAACTAATAATTTGCTGCAAGAGAAGAAAGGGTTGCCACTCAGCAGAAAGTTAAAAATTCCCTGACTTTTCACTGGCCTTTAAACAGTTTTCACTGACCTTTTATTAATGAGAAACAATCCATGTTTACATTCACTTTAGCTTTTTTTGCAGGCCATTGATAGTTTTCTCTTCATTTTCAACCTCTTTCCGCTTTTCGCAGAAAGAGGGAGAAGGAATTTGGAAGAAAGCTTCACAACGAAAACCACTGACCACAACTACTACATGTGTCCCAAGGTGCAGAGTGTCAAATTTATCACTTTGCTTGCTTTGCAGCATACTTTTCAGCTTTTCCAAAAGATAAATGCATTTCAAAATCTTGAAGAAAACTTATGAACTATAAACCGGAAAAAAGAATTCCCAGACTTTTCACTGACTTTGACAATATCAACGACTTTCCCTGACCTTTCCCTGACCGTGGCAACCCTAAGGAGAGCTAAGTGTCTGTCACATTATCTGCCTTTTGAAGATGACATTTTTCAGTCAGTGACATGGCTGACTCAGAAACAAAATGTGAGTTCTCCCAACAAGATGCGGGCATACGACTTCACCATCTGCACTGGGTACTAGTACAGGTGCTCTACAACTAAGTTACAGGAGACTCATGAGAACTATAAGGCCTGGTTTTGTTCAAACCAATATTCATTGTCGTTTTCCTTACCCTATGATTTATAAGTTGAAATGAAAGAGAAAAAACTTGATTTGAAATAAAGTGACAACTTTATATGAAAATATGACATTTCCAATATTTTTGTAATGATATTGGATGGTCATTTTTGAGAGCAGTCTTAGTTCATGAACATTCACTAGCATGCACAACTTTAAAACTAAAACAGAACTGACCTTGGGGACTTTAGATGGATCAGGTCTGTTGTCATGGCAACGGGCAGGACAGGTATGCCTGCAAGGATGTACAAGATCGCAGCGTTGGCTACAGGGAGGACATGCACCATAATGACAGCGATGAGGCTAAAAACAATGAGGAGATAATTTTTGATTTAACGAAACATTTTGTGAAACATTTAAGGTTAAAAAGCAACACTGTCTATTAAAACATGATGTTTTGTTGTGTATCACACCTTCATTTCCTTCACATATCATTTCATAGTCTCTTTCATTCGCATTTGATATCACCAAAACATCATGTTTTAATAGCATTGCTTTTTATCCTTAAAAGATAATTTTTTTAAATCAAATAATGACTGCTTACTGAGATAGAATAACTGAGTTCTCACTTGTTTCAAGGGAATTTTCAAATACCTGGAATTTCTTTCAGTGATCAAAGCAATGATATACTTGCGAATTACATATCTTGTACGTATCGTGGAAGGAAACCTTTGCCCAATGACCCTCCTTGTCTTTATTATTTTTCGAGTGTCATAGATTATATTGTATAAAATTGAATATATTAATATAAATTAATAACCATATTATTATTATGGAGTGTGCAGGACAATGTGTGCGGTAGATGGTGAAAACACACAAGATCAGATTTCGAGTGATAGAAGGTCCAAATGTGCATGGCCAGATTGCATTTCTTCTTTCTGTGTATTCCATTGATTCTTAGTGGAAGTCCACACAAAGCTGGCTACATGTGTGCTATGCACACATAAAAGCAGCCTGGAGATTGGGATTGCGGGCTCAACTTGTTGCCTGCCATTATTACGCATCATATCTGTTTTTTAATATCAACCTTTTCTAACCTTGCGTTGTTTGTGATGACAATCTGGAGGATGTCTAGATCGATAAAATAAAACCAGGGTATTAAATTAGGACAAAAGCCAGCAGAATAGTTGATAAGAATTATTAGTTTCCGACAGTAAAAATCAAATGTTCCTCCTAAAATGTACTCCAGCAGGGAAAAGAAGAACAAGATAAAAACACTTACGTGCAAAGTTCAGAACATTTTGGTGGCTTAGTGACTCTTTCACGGCCACATGGTAAAGTTAACACTGTTGCACCACAGAAACACTTTATGTCCACTGGCAGGGGACAGGGGTAACATTGGCCTACAAGCAATCATGTTATATTAAATTGAATTGTCATTAATCCTCTGTACCCACACTGCATGTACGGGCTGTTTGAAAAATACCTCTTTAGAGAACAGTTGGTTTTACTGGAATAACTTAAGTTAGTGATTTAAATGGCAGACAGTATTATTATTCTTTGAACAAATGGACACTGGTTATAAATAGGACCCCAACCACCAGTGAACCGCTAGGGAACCTTTAAGCAAAGTAAGAAATTGCCTGACTAACATTTATTTATAGAGAGTAAACAATTTTCCAAAGCTCCATATGGAAAGTAAAAGCATATTTTTGAATACCTCTAGAACGATTGGTTGAATAATAAGGCTGTAAGACATTTCTCTATCACTTTTCTTACAACAAAAAAATGATAATTTGTTACATAAATTACCTCTGTGACACTGTGATGGACATTTGTGATTCCGACAATTCAGGGTTCGGTTACAAGTCTGTTCACATGGAGGGCAACTACCACCACAGCACTGAAAGCAAATACGTAAAATTTAATATTATACTATGAACATCACCAGAAAGCTGAAGAGAAGCGTCACTGCTTGCTGCAAAAACAGCTCCCCTCTCCCCTCCTCCAACCTCATCTGCACCATGGACAGTAAGGCTGCTAATTGAATGGAGGGGTTTCTAGGATTTTTATAGCTACAGGTATTTTATGAAATAATTCAGACATCATGACTGTGCGATGCCGTTATTTTGTATGTTCTTTTGTCGTAATGTGACTGTGTGATGCAGTCATCATGTCAGTTCACAAATGACCTGCTCATCACTGCATGGAGTTCCCAGTAGCTTGAGCAGTGGTTAGAGCATCTGATCAGTGTTTGGAAGATTGTGGGTTCAATCGCCATCTGGAAGTCAGAAACCTTTTTCTGAATTTTTTCTCTCCACACAAATTATTCCATTTAATAATTCAGACATCTTAAGAATAAAATCCCACCTTTCTCTTACACTGATGCCGTTCACATTGCCTCATTTTAAGGCATTTTAAATCACATAAGAACTCCTGTGAACAAATAACATCTTTTTCACGTTTGCCACAACGACAAGTTTTGGTCACCAACTGCCTGCAGATGCCACATGATCCTGTGTGACATTGCTGAGTACATTTATGTCTGCCGCAAGCTAAGGGTTTATCACACGTACCACCACAAGTTGGAACATCTTCAGTGCAGGGCAATGAAACAGCTGTAAGAGTCAGAGATTTTGTGTTAAATGTATTTATATTTTGATTAAGGATGCATTATGTAAACAGTGCGTAGCTGGATTAAACTTGCCCTGACAAGTAAATATAACAGATCATTATTATATAAAATTGTGTGAATTATATATCCTGTATACGTCTAGGATCCATAACAAGTACAGTGTAAGCTGAAAGTTCAGAATGAGATGAATGGCTTAAGCTTTAAATAATAATAATATTAAGTTGCAGGTCAAAATTCAGGTTAAAATTTTTTAATCATGTGGTTGAGTCCCAATAACCTTTGTCTCCTAGCTCTTATTCATTCATAATTATGGCTGGGCCAAGATGAAGGTTATTAAAATATTTTAACGTAAAATTAGTTTCGACCTGTAACATATATGCTTTGTTTATATGTATCACTAAAAAAAAGTTGTTAATAAAAATGGCTGTTTTACTCACAAGTTTGTCCACAGGGACATTTCCTTTTTCCTGTTCTTGGACAATCACCACAGCTGTCTGCGTGACACACCCTCTCACATCGGTGATGACCACACGACAAGACTTTGTTGCAAACCTGAAAGGATTTAGAAGTACATATTAAGACCAAAGACTTCCACAGAAGGCCTAGGGTATGTGCAGCCAGACAAACACCAACAAACATGGATCATAATGCGTTGTTGGGAAACTGCCCCCTACCCCTCCCCTAAGCCGACATTAACACTTATTTCTCACTTCGGGCAAAATGTTGGCTTAGGGGAGGGGAAGGTGGGCAGATTCTGAATGTATAATGAGCCACGCACATGTCGGTCTTCCTACAGGGCATGTTTCATCACCACCTTTGGACTGTAAATAAATTATCACTCTGCCTATGTATCTGACACTAGAACCAAATACAATGGTAGGCCAGTCTGTTCTTGAGTTGCTTCCACATCCCATTGCTTTAATATTACTCTCCTCCACACAACACCTCTGCATCACTGAAATTCAGGACCAGCTACTAAATATAATTATTAAAAACAGAATCATTGGACAATGTAATTTTAGAGCTCTGATTGGCTTAGCCATCATAGCATATGAGCCATTACACCATGCTCTCCAAATGTTGTAACTGTCCACATCTGCTCAAAATGAAAAGCAAGCTGAAAATTACTCAGTGGGTCAATCGTGGTTAGTAATCTTCTTACTGAAGTAAAACCTAAGTCTTCGTGGGTGGTTGCTTATGACTAGAGATTAGACTGTATTTTACAGTGCAAGCATGATCAGTGACACACTACCTGTTCACACTGCCATTCTGGGCTAGCACAAGGTCTTTTACTCTTCATTTTACCACATTGACAACTCTGTAAACTTTCCTTAGGACATGGCAAACATTCACCTAAAATCATAAAAAAAGATTAAGTATAAAGAAGCTTCATCCATTTCAATTCAATCATAACAGTTCATCAAATCCAAATAAAAATTAACAAGGATCAACTTTGAAATGAGTACGTACCAGAATGACATGGTGTCTCGCAGTTATGATGACCACAAAACAAGCGCTTTCCACATGGTTTTCCACATGACCACAATTTAGCACTGCAGCGTCTTACAACAGGAGGATGTGCAGCACAGTGACAAGACACCCGCACAGTCTTAGGACAAGGAGGACAGGGACCTGCAAGGGACAAATTAAGCAGGCTGCAATAATAAACATATAGGTATCAAACAAGGCTGATGCTTTAAGAAACTTGAAGCAGCTATTGAAGAACACAGGCGGATCATCCGAACTGTTCGAGGCATCATGATGTCACACATGACATGTGATCTCATACATTTACTGTGTTTCATAATTTCTGCTCTCGGCTTGATTCTAGTGATTGGTAGAAATGCTTCATAAAACACAGAATTTTGAACCTTTTGATCCCAAATGTTAATGACTATGTATTAGTTGGGGGTACGTGCACTGTCAGTTTCAAGCAACTGAAAGCGTCACAAAAACGCAAAGCACTGCACTAAAAACATATGGTTTAAAAGTTATCTTTGTTCATTTTTCTTACATTTATCAACATTCTGAGATCACAAGGTGCAAAATTCTGTGTTTTATATTTCTGGTGTTTTTTACCAAATTATCACTTGAATCCAGCCGAGTGCAAGCGTTACGAAATATAGTAAATGCATGGGATCACAAGTCACGCATAAGATCACAATACCTCGAACAGTTTGGATGGAGCACCTATGCCGCAGAAGAATAGTTTACTGCTTCTCACCCGAACCCCTGGATAATGTCCTATATCCATTACGGTGTTGCCTTGGTGGTAAGTCACTGTAGCCATTTATACTCCTTTTTTGTACTTTAACATGGGTAGTAAAGCATTTTTATGTTATTTTTTCTTAACTTGACTTGCCTATGAACTATGAACTAAGTAAACTTCTACCAAAGAGATTTAATTGAATGGCCATGGTAACATCAGAGAATTTTATCCAAAGAATCAAAAGTTAGAAAGACACTAGTTATATCACAACTTCAATAATTTAATAATTTAAGGGGTGTAATGATGAACAAGCAACATACCAGGGTGACAAAGCAGCAGGCAGTCATGACCACAGTCAGGTTTGAGAGGCTTGCTACAAGACTGGCCACAGGAATGTGGTGTCAGCCATGGATCAAAAGAGGGATTTTCCTTAAAAAAAAAAACAGTACCAAATGAATATTATTGATATAATTCCTACAAAAAGCAAAATACTCAGGTTTGAGTTCACTAACTGTGAAGTTCTTCAAACTGGAATAGAATAGATGTAGTTACCTGTTTTCCACAGAAGCAGTAATATCTTGTGGGACATTCTGATTGTTTGAACTCATATCTGCACTTTGGGCTAAAATTAAGAAAAAGTCACCTCACTACTGTGGCATCTTTGACACATACATGTGAATAACTATTCAGGGTAGTCTGATTATGAAATGCCTGCCATCGTTTTGCTCTACCCCTCAACAGGAAGCCAAGTAAGAGACTCTCTCAGGCTGGGGCAAAGAGGTGGCTGGCATTTCAGAATACTGTTCAGGGCTGTCACTAAGATTTTAAAACACCAGGTAAATACAACAAGTAGGCGGGGAATCAAGGTGGCTTTATCTTTCTTCTATAGACAGGAGAAGTATTTACGTCATGTTGCCATGGTAGCAAATTTTTCTGGATGTCAACAAACTGAAAATATCCCTTAAAAAGTGAATTTGCAATGCTTCAAACTTCCATCGATCTTATTCAATTTCATTTTCTTGTTTTGCTAACATAAACCTATTGCTTTTTTGCCGTTCTCACTGCCGTCGCCATCATCATTGGCTAAGCCTCCAGTTGTTGTGATCCAGAAATTTTGCTACCATGGTAACATGATGCCACAATTCTCCTCTCTATTATCCAATAAGAAATCAAGGGCCACATTCTTAGTAGCCCTTGGGAAAATCCCTGTCCCTCAGCCCTTGATGACAGTCCTGACTGTTGATAAATTATCAAAATTATTTTACCAGTGCCATGGGATATCAGCTGGAGATATATTTTCTTGAGAATTCAACTGAGTATATGCCGCACCATCCCTGGCCCACTTCTGTATACACTGAAGGTGTAGAGTAGAGAAACACTGGCTACAGGTCCACACCTGAAAAGAACAATATATTTTCAGACTTTTCCCTCATGACATATAATATTATAATAATATATGGTTATGAAGTTGATGATGATGATCATGATGATGATGATTGTGAGGATGATAATGGTGACAATGATGGTGATGATGATGATGATGATTGTGAGGATGATAATGGTGACAATGATGGTGATGATGATGATGATGATTGTGAGGATGATAATGGTGACAATGATGGTGATGATGATGATGATGATTGTGAGGATGATAATGGTGACAATGATGGTGATGATGATGATGATGATTGTGAGGATGATAATGGTGACAATGATGGTGATGATGATGATGATGATTGTGAGGATGATAATGGTGACAATGATGGTGATGATGATGATGATGATTGTGAGGATGATAATGGTGACAATGATGGTGATGATGATGATGATGATTGTGAGGATGATAATGGTGACAATGATGGTGATGATGATGATGATGATTGTGAGGATGATAATGGTGACAATGATGGTGATGATGATGATGATGATTGTGAGGATGATAATGGTGACAATGATGGTGATGATGATGATGATGATTGTGAGGATGATAATGGTGACAATGATGGTGATGATGATGATGATGATTGTGAGGATGATAATGGTGACAATGATGGTGATGATGATGATGATGATTGTGAGGATGATAATGGTGACAATGATGGTGATGATGATGATGATGATTGTGAGGATGATAATGGTGACAATGATGGTGATGATGATGATGGTAACAACAATGTTACAATGTTTGAGAGAGTCATAGGTAGTGTTCTTTGTTGAGCTCAATTTTATCCTTGTTCAGATTGTTATCATAGCAGCGACAGCAAGAACATCAGCGTGCACATTTCCGAGGACATTTGGCAGATACTTCAAGCAGTTTTCAATGTAACAATTGTCAGGGTTACTGCAGATCCCGAGCGGGTCTGACTGCCCACACGAGAACCTGTTTAAGACAGGCCTCAACTCAAATCCAAGACAGTCATCTTCGGCAATGAAGGACAGCCATTATTTTATTATTTTATCATAAATTAACATACCCCAAAACACAAGGAATATAGTTATTTTTCACCAGGATAAAACTGAACCACAACACGTACACCTCAAACCAGTATCTTATGTTTCAACTTCATTAGTAGTTTTGTAAATGAGGCACGGTGAGTACAATGTGCCTTGTTCTAAGAAAATTCCACTCTATACCAGATGGTGCAATGCTGAGTATATGTACTGCTGTTTCAGGACCAATAGGAACTTTCATCCCTGAAAATATTGTGGGAACTACTGAAAACTACTTAAGTAAAAACTCACAGCATCAATGTGCTTGATGGAAGCGATACAAATTAAACAGATGCTAGCACCAGGTTTGCATGATTCCAGTAAATATTGCGCAGCTTTTTGTAGATCTGATTCATTATCTGCAATAGAAGATACATGCATATAACTGCACTGCAGAAGTTGTGATAAAAAAAATGACATAACCAAAAGGCAAGTTCAATTATAACGCAAACCATTCAAAAAGTCAAGTTCTCTGGCCCAGCTGTTGAAAATATGGATAGCGTTATCCACTGGATAAATCTCTATCCACTGAATAACACAAGTGATTTCCCTGTTTATATACTAATCCACTGGATAGTGATTTTTCCAGTGGATTAAGTGCTATCCAGTGCTTGAACAACCAGGACCTGAAGTCTTATTACTGTTTATGAGGCAAAATTTGCCTCATAATCGGTAGAAGTTGTCATTATTGTTTATTGATCTCTTATCAATTATTTGTTTACTTGTTTATTTTTCCTCCATTCATTTATTTTACAAGCCATTTATATTGTATTACAAGATTTGAAGATGAAGATGCTATTTTTAGAATAAATATCAGGTTACAAGAATAAATGGAGAGGGCAGGATATACTTAATTGCCCTTTGATTAGATTACAGTTTTATTTAGGTTAAAATAGAAAAAAAGAGAAAAGTATAAACCCTACAAATTATGAAAAATATACAAAAAATATACAAAAGAGAGGAAAAAAAGAAAAGCACATACACACACACACACATAAAAAATATAACATTTGAGAGTTGGTGTGGCAATGATTAATACTGAGCAAGATAATAGTTGAAAAGTGCTCTTTTAAACAATTTTTTAGTTGTTTTTTCACATATAGACAAAGGAATATGATTCCAATAATAGCACCCTATAACTGTTGGACAGAATTTTCTTAAATTTATTCTAAAGCTACTGGGATTTAGGTGTTGCAGGGATGCACTTCTTGTGTCATAATTTATGTTGCTCAGATACTGAGGCCAATATACAGGAAGACTTGCAACTGTGATTTTTAGTGCAATTTGGCATTAAAATTTTGTGTTGCAAGTTTTTTGCCTGCATTTAATTGGGCTAAGGTTATAGGAATTTGAGCAGGCCTGTCTAAAAAGATCAANTTTTCACATATAGACAAAGGAATATGATTCCAATAATAGCACCCTATAACTGTTGGACAGAATTTTCTTAAATTTATTCTAAAGCTACTGGGATTTAGGTGTTGCAGGGATGCACTTCTTGTGTCATAATTTATGTTGCTCAGATACTGAGGCCAATATACAGGAAGACTTGCAACTGTGATTTTTAGTGCAATTTGGCATTAAAATTTTGTGTTGCAAGTTTTTTGCCTGCATTTAATTGGGCTAAGGTTATAGGAATTTGAGCAGGCCTGTCTAAAAAGATCAAATACTTGGGGGTTGCCCAAGGGGGAGGGGGGGGTGGGGTATGTTGAAAATCCTAACCCCCTTTTTGAAAACCCTAAATACGTATATGTAGGGGGCGCGGATAAAAAATGGAATGTCCCCACATGACCAAAACAATCAAACTTTGTACATTGCACTCTACCGTGCATAAAATCGCCAAAACAGCAGCTGAAATGTTAAAATGTATCAATACCTTGAGAAGTATGCCTGTAGTTCTTCAAAGTGTTATTTAATATTTCATCGTCATTGATCTCCTCGTCTTCTGAAGAGTCTTCAAACTCGTCCTCTGCTTTTTCCATGTATCTTTTCGCAGCTTTCTTTATTTCCTCTGCTTTTTCCATTCTCTCCTTAGAAACTTCATAAGTCTCGGATGATTTTCCAGCTGTAATTAAACCCCTACTACTGGAACGCAAGTTGACTTGGGACTGTAAATTCCCGGCGAATCGTCCTGACCGTTGCCTTGAATTTGTGTCATTTTCCTTAACTCCGCGTCCCCTTCCCCGGCCTCGACCAAGAAATGATGGTCGCTTATCCATTTTAATCTGCGTCTTAACTCCCGGCTCTACATTTTCTAAAACAAATGGGTTAAAATTCAACGTAAACAGCTGAGCTATTGTGACCGGCACACGAGTCCACGAGACAAAATTTTATTGTGATTATGTGAGCCAACAAAATAAAAGACAGCGGTTTGTCACCCTTCCATTTTTTCTATCGTGTAAATGGAATCCAAAGTTCTACATCACGAATCCGAAATTGAAACGAAAACATGGCTTCGAGCTCTGTAAGAGAAGTGTCGTTTTTATTTATTTAGGTTGTGTCTTTATTGTTTAATGTGAATATGCTGTCTTTTAGATACGCTTGATTGAATCAAAGACAATTTAAATGCAAATTACCTTAAAGCTTTCATTGTTTTTAGACCATTTAACGTTATTTAATACACACAGGGAGGCAGGAAGCTGGGTGAAGGTGATACCGAACATGATCTGATTCATTCCTTGGATGAACTTTGCAAAGAATATGATCCCGAAACAGCCAGACAAGCTATACAAACAATGTTGACGCTGGCAAAGTAAGCATGCTACCCATCATCTTGTTTTCATTGAGCTTTAATTGTGTTAGGAATGAATGTATTTAATTTCAGACAGACCTATTGTAGATATATCGCCCTTATGGTCAGCTGTTTATGGGCTACTGCGTAGAAATCTGAGCACGCAACAAGCCGAATATTTCATACATGACTCAACCTGAGGCTGATGCCTACATTTATATTCTGACGGTTCTGATATATCCCTGGATTATATGTTACAGGTCAAATGTGATTTCAGGTTAATTTTGATTTGCCCTACACCTTCCTTAGCTTTAATTTTTATTGGATGTAAGTTTTATGTATAAGGGGTCGGCAAAAGTTGTTGTTGTTGTTGATGATGATGATTCTGCATTTCCTTTGTCTGAGTCCGAGCCCAAGGAGATGAAGGAAATCGAGAATCAACCGAGGCTGAAAAAACTTAATCTGATCAAATCAAAATATATTCTCAGATTTGGCAAAAGCATAAGCATGCGTGGCATCTCATGAGCATCTGTGATGGATCCAAATGGTACTGTGTCAGCTGAGGTGTGGCCTGCGAACGGCAGACGTTTCTCCTCGCTCATCGCCTCTGAGGGGCATTTCGCAAGTAGGAACGTCTGCGACTCAGCAACAGAGATTCCATACTGATGACGCAAAATCTGTCCGGAATCCGGTCAGAAGCACTAATTGCTTGACGCAGTAGTTTTATTGTTTTAGCTTTTGTTTACGAAGGACAGACAAAAGACAAAAAGCTGCAAAGGTCAAATGTAAACGCAATGAATCTCTAACAAAACAGCCAATATTTGTGGAATAAAGTCTTCTCTAGAAGAAGCATCTGAGTTTTGCTGGAGCTCATTCACAGATGAACACAACACTTTATCAAAATCAACCAGAAGAAACATAAAATTGAACAAATTTGCATTTAAAACCCATGACTACCGGATTTATTATGTAAACATTGATTTACGTCATCAGTATGGAATTTCTGTCGCTGAGTCACAAACGTTCTTTCTCACGAAACATCCCTCAGCGGCGATGAGCGAGGAGAAACGTCTGCCATTCACAGGCTAGCTGAGGTGGGAATATTGGGGTGAGGGTAGACTGCTATCATTCTCTCAGGATCAGTGATTTTGTTACCTCTGCATCCTGCATCCCTGATACATAAAAATCCCTAAAGATGCAAAATAATTCATGGTAAGCACCCCATAGGACACAAAGATTGATAGATCGATCAATCTGATCATGTGTATATATAATTGTAGAAATATCCTGTTCGTGTAATTTCTGTGGCAGGTGTGATGGCGGTTGTTGAAGGATGCATATTTCTTTTAGCCTTTGTTGTGCTTTAAAGTAGAAGGACTACATTTTAATTTCAGTGTACAGTCAAACCTCTTTAATACGGACACCAAAGGGACAGAACTAAGTGTCTGCTTTACTGAGGTGTCCGTATTATAGAGGTAGGGAATAAAGGATTTTTGTCATTTCTGGGACCAAACGAATTGTTCGTAATAGAGAGGTGTCCGTATTATAGAAGTGTCCGTAAGGAGAGGTTGGACTGTACTATAATACAGAGTTTTGGAGTCTGTCTTCAGATTAACTGTCTGGTTACATAAAGGCCCAAGCATTTTCAATTTTGGATTTGTCTTTTTTAACTGGGACTCATGATTTTTCACAAGAAGAGTCCCAGGACTCACCATTTATAACTATTTGTAACAAAATCACTGCAGGATGTTTTGGGTTGAGCATGTGTCAAGTGCTAGTGAATGAGGCAAACACATTAGGGAGAAAACTCCCTTCTTGTCTAAGTCACTCTCTTGAATCCTGCTAAGGCTAGACTCAACAGACTGGAAAGGGGCTGCTTGTAATATAGGGGAAGGGGGTGATATACTGGGATATTGATTGAGATGGACTTGAAGAATGCATTGTTCAGACTTGAAGGAATAAATTATTAACTAATTNTTTAACTGGGACTCATGATTTTTCACAAGAAGAGTCCCAGGACTCACCATTTATAACTATTTGTAACAAAATCACTGCAGGATGTTTTGGGTTGAGCATGTGTCAAGTGCTAGTGAATGAGGCAAACACATTGGGGAGAAAACTCCCTTCTTGTCTAAGTCACTCTCTTGAATCCTGCTAAGGCTAGACTCAACAGACTGGAAAGGGGCTGCTTGCAATATAGGGGAAGGGGGTGATATATTGGGATATTGATTGAGATGGACTTGAAGAATGCATTGTTCAGACTTGAAGGAATAATTTATTAACTAATTGCATATTGTAAAATTTAATTTAACTTAATTTAATTTTAAGGCCATAAACTGTTTTAACTCCTTATTCCATGGCTATACTCTAGCAATGCCCAGTTGCCATTGGGACCTTACCTTTACTATTGAGTAACTAGAAAATCGTAGTTTTTCATAGAAATTCTATGCTGGGCACCTTGGATTTCAGAGCACTAGGCTCCCTTCAATTTCTCTAAAGAGCACAGCCTTGTACTGTGTTTCTGTTAATTTAAACTTACTCTTTTTTAGCAATATCATTAAATCTCCTGAAGATGAAAAGTACCGCAAGGTAAAAACCCAAAACAAGGCCTTTTCATCAAAAGTTTGGAGCCTTCCTGAAGCTCAGGAATTTCTTCTTCTCTGGGGCTGGGATCAGGTATGGAAGTTGATGATTGCTTGCTTTTGTCAACAGTCAGATGATAATAATAAAAATAATAATAATAATAATAATAATAATAATAACAATAATAATAATAATGATAATAATCGCTGTGATAATGATAATGATAATGATAGTAATGAAGAGGTGAAGGAAGTTTATAAGAACCAGACGTCATATGGAGTTATTAGCTCATTATATCTTAACGCTTTTCCTCCACCAGGAAGTCCTTTTCAGGATAGTTCATAAGTCAGCCTATTTCAGGAATTAAAAAGAAAGCTGAAGGAAAAAAAAATACAGAAAACTTTTGCCACAAATAGTTAATTTATTTGTAAATTTTTGTCCTTTACTTTCCCAATAAAAGATAAACCAAATTGATACTGATCCTTCCTTGCTTTGTGGAGGGGCGTGTGGCCCAGCAGTTAACACCTTGAACTCCGGATCTTGAGGTCCGGAGTTCAAGCCTCCCCCGTCGCATTCACCTTAGACAAGGAACTTTACTCCACTTTGTATTTTTTCACCCAGGTGTATTAAATGGGTACCAGCAACATACTGCTGGGGGGTAACACTGCAATGGACTAGCATCCTGTTCAGGGGGGAGTAGCAATACTCCTAGGCATGCTTCATGCTAAGAAAATGGGGGTAAGCCCCAGCTGTTTGGGCCTTTGGCTTGTGTGCACCTTAACCTTTACCCCCTTCCTTGCTTTGGCAGGTCGATGAGTGTGTTGTTCTTTCATCTGATGAGGATGTTCAGTTAATAAAGCAAATACTACAGAAGAAATTAAAGTGAGTTCAGTTTGATTTATGCATGCAATTGATTTATGAATTGTGTAAAAATTTCCCACCAAGAAACTTCCTCATTAAATCTGAAGTAAAACTGTCAAAATCCAATACTGAATGGCATTTTCTAATTTTTGCATTTTGAGCCTTTTGACCAAAATTAGTCAATTATTTTTGTACCAGTTTCTCAATTTAGGCTGGTACTTTTATGAGACATCGGACACTGTCACATGACTCCTCCACGGGGAAGATCACAGAAGCCAGTCTCACACTTTGTTTTTAAGTTGTAAATATGTTAATTTTTATTGTAATGATTATTACAAAGAATTCATCAGAGTGCAGTTGGTGTTCAAAATAATTTTTTATTTTTTAGATCCAGGTAAAAGTAAAATGTCAGTGAAAGTCTATGAATTTGTTTGCAGTGCCATTTCTCTGAAGTCACATGCTGCAGCTGCAAGACCCTCTCGGAATGAACCTGTGAGTCAATCATCATAAAACTGCCAAATCATTTACCTCTTACCGTAAATCCTCTATTAAGCCCCCCCCCCCCCCTCTCAAATAAGCCCCCTTCCTCTAATAAGCCCCCCTTTTCAGGGGAAGAAAGTTATTGAGTTCTCCTGTCTCTATTAAGCCCCCCCCTCCCCCCGTCCCCACACCCCTTATTATTCTTCACTAGCAAAATAATGATAGACTGTATTAATCAATCATGACCGTAAAACTTTGTGTGGCCTGATCCAGGATGGTTTATTTACCAATGGAAGTTCGGATTTGATTCTGATCCTCGGCTGCATGACCTCCAACCTTCTTGTTCTTGAGCTTCTCTGCTTTGTATTCTAGTTTTTTTATGGAGAACTAAGTGTATAGCCCCCCCAGCCCGGCCCCCGGAAACCATTCATCTTTGTTTTCATTTTGCAGCTTACAGAGAAAGAGAAGCAGCTTCAAGAAGAAAGAAAAAAGTTGATGGAAATGAAAAAGCTGGAAGAACAGGAAAAAGCCAGAATCAAAGCTCAGGTAATAATCTTGACAATATTCTACAAAGTCAAGACACCTTCTTCTTGAAAAAATGATGAATATTTAATTTTCTTAATTATTAAGTTTTTTTAGAAGACATTGCTCCCCTTTTATTTTATCACCAAATTTAAGAAGGATAACGTACACAATCTGAAGTAAAGGAAAAAGAAATTCATCTGGGTTCATAAAGTTACAAACAGCTGCTAAAAACAAAATGAATATTTTTAAGAAAATAAATATTTTGCTAATATTTTTTTCTCTCATTTATTCTTGTAATAATTCTCTTCCTAATATGTAGATTTAGCCAAGGTTAAAGGTGAAGCTCCCATTAATTAATTTATATTTTACTTCAAACAATAAACTTGTAACCATGGTACGGGAATTTGAGCCTGCGATCAGTTGAAAACTAGGAACTTGTCAGCGGATAACTTCAACAAAACATGCAACCTTGATGGGTCGATGTCTGAACCCACAATATGGTCATGTGATACTGATCAGCAGATACCCTGTTTTGACAGCTGTCAATTGACCACAACATGGATGTGCAGTATCAGGTTGCGGCTCCCAATCTAGCCAGAAAGTGTGACATTTCACATTGGTAACCCTGTGGTGCAGACTGTTGATCATGTGACTACCAAAATTTCTGAGATGGATAGAAACCAGATTTTCTTAGCTATGGGGCTCCACTCTTGCACATGGAGTTCAGCTATGAAAGGGGCTTAAGGACAGAATTAGTCTATTAGTGATACTAGTGATTATTATTTTATTTTATTAATGGGATGTGGTCCTGTTATTTTTCAGATTCAAGCTGACAGAAGAGATACAAAAGATAGAGAATCAAGGGAATCAGTGAGTTGTACCTCTCATTCTTTTTGGTGTATTAAAATGCACATTACTGGGATAAATGCTTCAACAGTATATCATTATATCTAACTTTTGTTTTATATCTCAGAGAGCAAGAAAACTTGATAAGTTTGGTGGAAAGATGACCAAATTCGAAGACATTGGTGTGGATCTTAACAAGGTAAAGGTGCAACTACCTTCAGAATGGCCAAATCTACTTCTAATAGAAACTTTATACTACTACATGAGAAATTTCTGCAATTTGATTGGCTTAGAGCAGTGGTATTTCAGCTTAATTTGAAATACCTACATGCAAAAATTACAACCTTTTGTGGGTAGTAGTATAAACAAATAATAGCATGATTTGTACGTGATATTTGGTATAAATACCACTTGGGACATTTCAAAATTGTCTTGAATTTCACTCGCCTAACGGATCGTGAAACTACGTATAACAATTTTGAAATATCACTTGTGGTATTTATGCCAGATATCACACTGTGCACTGAACTGTGAGCACAATTTCAGTTTCACAAGGCTTGCCTCAAGCACACATGGTAGTGGACTGCTAAATGCCCCCATCTAGAAGACACTCAAGAATAGGGTTGGCTGGTTTCTCTGATTCCTTTTCCTTTTCTGCCTTTTTTTTCTTATTCTTTTGTGGGCCAGTCACCATGAAGCCTAGTCATTTGGCAACAGAGGCTACTTTGATTGATTCCCATGAAACTTGACCTTGGATGAAGCACAGTCAAGTATCATTTGTATCCAAAACCGCATAGTATTATTAATTTTACCAGCTCTTCTGGGTATTAAAATCTAGTAGTTTTCTTGGTATTGCAGACATGTGCAATTGCCAAATAATATTATTACAAAAGATTAAAAAGACACTGAATAATACTCACACCACAAAACAAAAGCAAACCAACAACACCAAGAAGCAATAGTAAATCTGGGCTTCTATGAATTTGATTGGCAGCTGTAATACAGTTGAACCTCTCCACAACGGCAACCTTGGGGACAGAAAAAAGCAACCGTTGTAGAGAGGTTTACACAAGAGTCAATGTATGGACTGTCCGCCAAGAAAGTGACAGTTGTAGAGAGGTTTAAACACGAGTTGATGTATGGACTGTCCACCAAAAAAAGTGGCCGTTGTAGAGAGGTTTAAAAAGGAGTTAATGCATGGACTGTCCACCAAAAAAGTGGCCGTTGTAGAGAGGTTTAACAAGAGTCAATGTATGGACTGTCCACCCAAAAAAGTAACCTTTGTAGAGAGGTGGCTGTTGTGGAGAAGTGGCCTTTGGTGGAGGTTCAACTGTAGCTTGCTTATAGATGTTTTAATCTTTCATTTCAGGGTGGTGGATGAGGATAACTTTTCATTGGATTTAATTCCAATGATTCCAGTGTATACAATTGTTGAACTATATGTGCCATGTAAAATGACAACTTCTCTGGAAAAGCTTTCGTGAGCCTCAAAGAAGATTGATGGAGACTGGCAAACTGTACTTAATAAAAAACATTTTACAAAGCTTATCTATTCTTAAAAAGGATGATATCCTTTTTTTTTTTTAACTGTACTTGAGAAATTATTTAACACACACAAAATATTTAAAAAAAACTTCTTGGTTAGTTGTTAAACTTCTTATCCTGAACTTTTGTACAAGAGGAGTGCAAACCATGTATGAAAAAAAAATAGATGCAAATAATGCTGTATTAATCAGCCCTGACAAATTCACATAGTGTGATTCTTGGGTGTCTCTATTTAAAGTAACGCATACATGTATTGGGAAGGTGACACAGAGACTAATAACGTGCAAAAAAAAGTATTGTCACATGGCATCTGTATGATGCAGTGATTTCATTTAGGATTGTGTATCATTAATAAACACAATAAACAACTTGCCACAAAACAATTTCAACATTGTTTATTAGTTCTTTGGCTGTTAATTAATTTTTACAGAAAGCACGATGGACAACAGTAGGCTGCATCTTTTATCATCTGAAAGAAAAAAACAAATAAGAACAAGATACACTTGACACTTGACAATAAAAATAGCAAGACAAAGTGTTACTGGATAGTGTCAAGTTTACAATGTGTCAGGAATAACGCCATTTACAAGTACTACATGTATTTGGTCTTTAATTTGAACTCGGCACTTTCCTATGTTGCCTTAAGATGTTTAACATTCACGTACACGGCCAGTAGCAGTTTCTTGTGCTATTTGGTTGGATTTCATTTACCATAACAATAGAAATTTCTAAAGTAATACCCAGTTAATGTATTTGTTTTTTCACTTTCCCAAAAAATAATGACCTTTTTTGTTGTTGAACATGCTTTGCACCCGACTGAAATTATGACGACAAATGGTGCCAACAGTATCAAGACAGTAACATCAGTTTAAGTTTTCAAACACTTAAAACCAGACATAAGTAAACCTTAACAAAGTTTAGTAAATATTCTTGACTTTAACCAGTGAATGTCACAATATTAGCTTTGAAGTAATTTGGTTCCATAATCATGTATCTTTTTCAAATTTCTATCTTTTAACGGCAGTGAAGTATTAAACTAATTCACAACAGTTAAAACATAGAGTGTGAGCTACAGGAAGCATCTGTTAGAGGATGCATTGACTTTCAGATTACTAACTTTGTTTGAAACTCAAGAGTACCCTCTATGATAGCACACACCTGTAAACTTTTGAAAATGTGTTTCCTCTGAACCAAAGAAAATAATTTTACAGTGGATGGATGATGTATGTAACCAAATTTAAGAATGATCTTAGGACTAACTTTTCTTCCTTTTCCTCTCCATAAGAAAAGAAAAAAAAAACAAACAGTAAGTGTGAGTGTACCTTGTAAAATCACATGATGGGTCCCGCAGGCTGTTCAGGTTTGCCTCCTTTGTGTTCAGATACAGGAGTAGTCGGGATGACCTCCTCCTTGGGTTCCACAATACTGACATGATCTGGAAGTGGCTTCTTGGGTCCTGTTTTGCCAGTAGGATCCCATGGAAGCATGATCTTTACTTTGATACCAAGCACACCTGACAAAATGAAAACTTCTTAGCATCTCACTTAATGTATTTAGCAGTATAAAACACTCTGTTTCACATCAAGCTTTTAAATATTATCATTATATGTGGCCCTTTGCACACAGTAAAACCTTCCTGGAATTTCTAGAACTATCACTGCATAATATTAAATTGTCCTTGATGCAAACTTTTTGGGCTTGCCATTTGCAAAGAACCTAACTCAAACCACAGTTTAAAGACTTGTTGGGCCTGCCAGTCCATTTTTAGGGTGTTTATTTCAAGCGCATGAATGGCTGAGTCTCTAGTCTGGACTGCAAGCCTTCTTGATGCCGTTAACAGCCATTTATGTTTGGATAGGAAGGTTGAACAAATATTGAAAATGGTTTTGTTAAATACATCTACACTACATAATTATGTTAAATTACCAGCCCTTTTATTTTCCTAGGAGTTTCCATTTGGTAAAAGGAGAGTCAAAAAATAATTGCACCAAGGACAAAACTGAAGCACAACACATATTGGTTTGTTCATAATGCATACCCTGCCTGAGGTAGACATGCCTGATGGCTGTGTCTACATAGTGATTGGTGGGTTCACCACTGTGGATCATCAAACCATCAACAAACTTCATGGACTTTGCACGCTGACCACGCAGTTTTCCAGATACAACAACTTCACAACCCTTGGCACCACTTTCCATGATGAATCGAAGAACACCATAACAAGCCCTAACAAAGCAACACATCATTTCAACCTTGTTATTTTAATATTATTTTTTACCAGGAACAAATGTTGGAACACAGGCGTAAAGTGTTGAAACTTATTTTTCTTGCTCTTGACTAATACAATCCATTAGGCAAGTTTGGAGAAACACATTAACCCTTTTAATCCTAACAATAGTCAATGAAAAATTCACTAGCACATTCAAACTTCTATATTTTGTTTAAACCTATGAAATAAATAGAACTATGCAAAAATCTACCATAGAGGTTTCATTTGAATGGTAACATATGATTTTTATCCATAGATTTCAAGGTTAGGGTGACCAGTCGTCTCACTCTAACTTTTAAAAGGAGTTAAAAGGCTAAAAACAACGTTGGTCAATATTCTCACATTAATAGGGACCTTATGATCCAACAACGGCAATGCCAATGAAAAAATCACTGAAAAATAGACTTTGCATCCTTTGAAACTTTTTCAGGTAAGTTAGAACTAAAGGTAGAGGGCCACATCAGAGTTTAGAGAGAAAGTAAAATTTATTGGCATGCTGTTCCTGTTCTCATGTCAACCCCAAATTTGGTCATTTCATGTCGTAGTTGTGTTGGGATAGCATAACACACATGCATAGTTGTTATTTTGCGCAGAAAATTTTTTGTGTTTTAGACATTCTCATCGCCATTGCCGTCATGGTTTTAAGGGGTCTCCTAACATACAATGCAAGCAGAAGTATCCACGCAGAGAGACACATAATCATAAAATGCAGTCGGACAAAACTAAAAGCAGTTTCTAATGTTTTCTGGAGTTTGTCTTTCTATTAAATTAACTAAGGCCAAACACAAATAGTGTGAGAAAATCCCCAGTTTCAAATCTTCATTCACATCTCTACTTGGCAGAAAAAAATTGTGGACTTCTTCTAATCACCTACCTCCTTACTGCAAGTCCACCAATCAGCTTGTACCTAAGAGACTCACACTGTGCAATGGCACACAGACCTCTTGTGGCAACTTTCTCTGCATACAACTGGAAAAGACATTGGTGTAATATTTAACAGGGTTTGAAAATAATAATTAGCATATATTACTTGCTCATGATCATTAAACATCAGGAATCCATGGGTCTGTATAATAATATTTCACCTTTAAAGATTGCAAAGCAGGATTTATCTCTGCAGACAACAGTAAGTCATGCACCCAAGTTGCCCTAGGCCTAGTTGTTTGAAGGCCCATTAGTGCTAACCCAGGGTCAAATTTTAACCCAGCTTTCTTTTTCTTTTATTCAAAAGCATTTTCCAGGATAATTTTCAAACATCAAATTGTAGACGAAAAGAATAAAACTGATTTTACTTCTTACGCTTTCATATCTACATTCAAATTCCGCACTAAGCCTGGGTTATCTTAACCCTGCTTTGAACAACCCGGCCAAGGAATTTCAGATTCCATCCCCATAACAATCAAATTAATGCTCTGTAGGCCTTAGCAACTACAGCAAATACAGTCCTTGCTTTTGTTAAATTTGTCAGAGTGATTTCACAACAGCAATGTCATATCCTTGAAAGTAGACTTCTTTTCAAAAATTTTGATTTTCTTTCTTAAGTAATCCAAAGAAATGTCTGTACGAAAAAAAACTATATTCATATTCCAAAATCAAGGAAGAAGCCACACAAAAGCCAAACCGTGCCACAGACCTTGTCACGGTTTTTCGACGCCATCTTGAAGAGAAGGCAAACGCGTGAGAAATTACAGTGATTGTATGAGAATCTAATGTCGAATAATTTCCATAGAACAGCTGTTCTAAAAAAAATATGATTTGTAAACTAAAGCTTCACTCCTAAGGATTCTCCTGAAAAAATTTGAGCGCGTTACATGCACAAAAAGACCTAGAACCACTTTTCAAAATTTTCTATACATTTGTCTGTAAGAAAGACCCGGGAAAATTACAGACAAATATATGGAAAATCTAAAGCAAGACACTGGAGAAATTTAAGCACAGGTATGCCCCCAAATTTTTTAAAGACAATCCTTTGCTTTGTAGCTTTAGTTTACGATTGATATTTTTTTCAGAACAGCCGTTTTACGGAAATTATTCGACGTTAGATTCTCATACAAACACTGTAATTCCTCACACGTTTGCCTACTCGTCAAGATGGTGTCGAAAACTGTGACAAGGTCTATTTTCCCATCCTTGAATATGGGGGGGGGGGGAAACATTGTTATAAATAGAGTTGAATTTAAGGACAAACCTCCACAGTTCCCTCAGGAAATCCAAATCTCTTCTGTACCACTGATGTCAGTTCACGGATTCGTCGACCTTTCTCTCCAAGAACATTCTGGGTCCTGGTCGCCAATATGATGATCTCAGTTCGGATGGGAGTAACACGAACTTCCACTCCACTGTAACCATCTTCTGCTAATTCACGAGTTAAAAACTCGTTCAGTTCGGCTTTGAATACGCCATCAGCAACAAACTATACGAAAACGAAGAATAATAAAGTTGATTTGGACAATAAATAAAAGCATTTTCCAGTCCTTCTATCGATGTTTTAGACTAACAGGATTATTGAAAAAAGTTGTATTTTACTGTGGAGAATTATTCTACATGAAGCCAAATCCATCGCACAAACAAATGCTTTCAAGAGAGAGCCACTGAGTACACAAGAGAGAATCAAACTAGTGACGCATTAACTTCAGTATAACGGTGGGAGAATAGGCCAGGGACTCAGTTACAAGCTCTGATTTCTAAAATTGAAAGTCTATCATTATCCAGATAAGAAAAATAAGAAAGTAAATCAATTTAAATCTTGACCATAACTTGGCCATCGCCTCCATACAATGAAATGAATTGACAGGTAGGTAAGTATATTTTAATGGCATTTAACAAATTCTTGTTAAGATGACGTCCTGAGAGAGATTTCGTCGGTTTTCTAACCTTCTTTTTCTTGCTGATTTGAGCCGCCATGATGACTGCCGCGAAAGAGAACTATCCCAGCGTGCGTTGCGCGAATAAACCAACACGCGCAGGCGCAATCAGCAGTCCGCCATGTTTTCAAGTCGGTGTTTTCGTTCGATTTCGAAGCTTTCTTCCACTGCGCGACTGGTTGTAAGTGAATTTCTCCTCTTTAAATTCCATTGTGCACTTAATTCAACAAAGATTTTTCTTTTTTCAGCGCCATGCTTCAAGGCTGCAGCAGGAAACCTGTCGAGAAGGCAAGTAGAACTTCCCGGCCCCGCACGTGAGAGTTTGTTAGCCACATGTGCAAAGTGACAGTAAGAAGTCATCTAATAAAACAATGAAATAATATTTGTTGTCGTCTGCAGGGTTGATTCTACAAAGCGGTGTACTGGGAAGACCAGCCACAAGTGGCCAGTGGTAAGTACTACCACGGGGCCTGGAACTAGTCAGTGAAGATAAATATCCTGAGGCTATGTTCACACTTTTTCTGGTTTGCTTGTGACGTCACGGCGGCCATGTTGGTGGTCAAGAAATGTGGTTGCAAACCAAGAATACCTAATAGTCCTTGCACCTGCACGAAAACTATACCGGGTATTGCTTCTGATCACACATGAGGGGAGTGATTTGGCCATTATTTCTGTAATTTAGCAAATTAAAGTTGCACCGCACTGATCTCAAAAGTGGAGCTTCACTTATTGGATGGGTTCCACAGGAAAAAATAACGGATTCCCATTTTTGGACATTTTAGGGTATTTAAAGAATACCCACAAAAATCCCAAATTTGGAAGAGTGAGACAAGTCCCAATAAGGGAACTTGGTTGGGAATTCCCTGGTTGGGACTTGTCTCACTTTGCCAAATTTGTGATTTTTATGGGTATTCTTTAAATACCCTAAAATATCCAAAAATGGGAATCCGTTATTTTTTCCTGTGGAATTCTGTGTCACACTTTGGTGCAGCATGAGCAGGTATTCATCCCCTAGTGGAAGTGAGGAGGGCTACTCTTCACTTTGTTTAAAATCAGTCAAGATTCACGAGACCTCTGCAAATCACAGAAATAAAATGCAAGTCAGAAATGTTCAAGTTGCACACATTAAGGACCATTCTTTCTATAATTCTGCACTTGTCCAGGCAACCCAAATTGTAACCGGGCAAGTATGCTATTAGGCTTACTTACCCAGATGATGACTCTGATTAAAAATGAATAATTATGGCTCCCTGCTCAGTTATTGTAAAAAAAAATGTTTGTAATTTTACATCTTTATCTGCATAAATTTTAGATTGCACTTTGGAGGTAAAACAATGTGTCTCAATGAATTTGTATTTTATTTTTTGTGTAACAGCCTTGCCACACAAAGCAAATATGGCAGACGCTTTACCAGGAACCTGTACATAACAACAGTAGCATGTAAGTTAAATTATTGCTTTAAGTGTACCTAACAACAAAAATATTGTTTCTCATTAAGGTAAATTCCCTCATTATCCAAGGTATGTCTTTTTTTCGTTAAAATTTAAAATTGCTATGAAATTTTGCAAATCATCAGGGTTTCTGTTGAGACGTGATCATCAGAGGGATCTGTGGTGAACTACATCTATGATGTCAAAATATGACATCAAATCAAGAGAAGAATTTAAAATCTGGTCAGGTTAAGGCTACTGCTTAAGCATGTAATGCAAAGGTTTTAGTTTTATTGTTTGTAGAAAATGATTAACAAAATAATAAATTACTAATATTTTAGAGGGAACACATTCACACGGTGGTTTTCATAATTATACTACTCCTGATCCAATGTAATATTTTAATTTGGAATGCTGGTTTTTAAAAAGAGGGGAAAACCCTTTTTTTTTCTGCTTAAATCAACGCACCTCAGGCAATAATATTGTTGCTGCTTGTATTTTTATGTTTTATATTCTATTTTCTCAATTCAGGTGATCTCTCCAGAATACCAGAAATTCTGACAAATTCAGTCATTGATGGAGCTGGTGTTGACAGTGATATAGCTGAGGACGATGATGAAATGTCAAGTCCAGTAAAAAAAGCAAAGCATTGGCGAAATCCTAGTTACTAACATTGTCTACACTGCCAGTAATAAGAAGGAGCAAAAACTGTGAACATTTTTGCATGAAATTCTCTGAATCTTACAGTTCCTTTTTACTTTTAATTCACAGTTGAGGAAGTGCTAAATGCTGTGATTTCTTTCAAAACTGTAAATCTAACTTTCACTTGCAGTCCTCTTTTGTAGGGTTTCTTAATTTTATTTCTGGTATGAATAGTAATTATTCCAAGGTTATAAGTGGCAAGTAGTTACTTTTATTTAAAGTGATATTTTTATTCCCTTAGAATAAATTGTGTATGGAAAGAAGTGTAAAGATGAGATTGTGATTATTATCACAAGTGAAAACAGTTGAACCTCCATTTAGCTGCCATCTATTAAGCAGATACTATCCAGTGAATGTCTAGTGGTATTCCAGATAAGAGGCAGGTCTCAGGTCAATGACCCAATAAAGAAGGCTTCCTGACCCAACAGATAAAATAATTTTTTGATTTAAATATTATGATAAAAATTAGCACATGATCTGGATGACCCCTCAGATGGTCTACACCACTTCCCTGTTTAAAAGACTTAGGTAACTGGAATGCTGCGTCCAGTAATCTAAGTCCTCAAATAATATTGTAGAAAATAATAAATTGTAAATTTTATTAAACCTCTAGGGAAGTGGCCACCTCTATCAAGCTGCCGTGGCTAGCCTGAGAAAACAGCTGACATTTGACGATGCTACCATTGGTTTCCCGTCAAATGACGTCTGAGAAACAAGCACAGAAATTCCATACTGACGACGTGTCACTACCCAGATCTGGGTAGTGCTTCTGGTTGGTTCAATCGAATTTCTCATGTGGCACGACCAATCAGAAGCATGACCCAGATCTGGGTAGTGATGCGTCATCAGTATGGAATTTCTGCACTTGTTTCTCAGATGTCATTTGGCGGAGAAACCAGTGGTAGCGTCATCAAATGTTGGCTGTTTTCTCAGGCTACCTTTTGGCTGGTACAAAAAGAGTTCAACCCATTTTTGTCACTTTTATTATGTGGCCATCAAGCACTTGATACACTTAGTTTGGCATTATTTTAAAAAATATGATGAAGAAAAATACAGCCCGAGATAGGTGTCAACTGATTGTGGACCAGTAATGCTCCTCCCATCACCATTTTTTTTTCAAAATAAAGTTATATTTCCTCTAAAAATTATGCTAATTTTATGATGAACCTCTTTGGAGCGGCCACTTGCTGGTACCTGGTTCCCTTAAGGTTGGCCGCTTAATGAAGATTCAACTGTACCAAAGTTTTAAGCTTTCAATCTTCCATGTTTCTTGACAGTGTATTAATTTTTACACAAAAGATTTTCTTACTTTTGAAACTGGCAGTGTTATATTTTGATTAATTAGTGAACTGAAAATACACCGTTTTGTCTTCTCCATTTTTAATAATGAGTTGATTCATTGGATAACATTTTTTCTTCAGAATTAATGCATCAGTTCTCTGAAATGACTGAAAGAAACTTTTGAGTGGATGTATAATCATTTTAGAAAAGAGCATAGAAATGGAAAATAGCACGCCTCGAACACAGAACTCGTCATTTCAGGAAAAGGGGAAAAGGATGCATCGTGCCATCTAACACGTTGTAATCGACGAATCCCAGGAACTCTCTAGAACGTGGCTCCTTTAACCTGATTATCATACGTAATTTTGTTGTTGGGGCCGTTCTGGAATCAGACTAGTTNACGAATATCAGGAACTCTCTAGAACGTGGCTCCTTTAACCTGATTATCATACGTAATTTTGTTGTTGGGGCCGTTCTGGAATCAGACTAGTTCTTGGTTTCTGCGGAGATAGAGAGAGAGAAAAAAAGTAAACGATCAAGATGTGTCTAACTTAACGTATTCAAACACTTCCTTCAAGGAAAGAAGGAGAAGAAACCCGCTGAAAAGGAATGCCTTACACATGTCATGTGATGCTCTTCGGATCGTACTTCCTATTATTTAAGTGTTTTGTATTTATTAATATATCTATTTTCTGTGAATACCTCGAACAGTTTACCAAAGGTGACTTCAATGAAACCATGAGACATTTTTCCTTTTTTACAATTGTCTAACTCTTTATACCGCTACGCAAGTCAGAAATTTGAACGTGATAGTCCTGTCGTTCGTCGTCTGTGTTTGTTTTCGATGCATCACAGCACGCCTGTCAAATCTATTTCCATTGTGTTTCGTCCAATCAGGTAACACTTTTAAGCCAACACCCACCACCCTCCCTCGCTAATGAAACGTCACAGCAAAGCGCTTACCGGCATACAATTCTTAACTGTTTTGGTGCAATTCAGTTTGCAGAGCAGAGTCAATTCAAGCATGTTTTTACGAACGATAGGTAGTAGACTTTCGATTCAGAGAGGAGCCTTGCTGCTCCGGCGTGTTCCCATCCGTGCTGCAACTGGAGCTTACAAAGTTGTAGTCGAAGAAAACGGCGGCGACATGTCACTGGTAGGTGAAGGTCTCTTATTGCACACAGTAGTCACAAAACGCTTGAAAACAGGAATGTCTCACAAGAGAGCCCTAGTTTAACCGAGACACAGTTAATTAACACTGTGTTAGTCGCCAAACAGAACATTCGTGGTCGTTTAAACAAAGTAGAAATATCAAAACGAGGATAATGAAACGTGGAATGCACAAACCAGGTGAGGAACCGATCTTTGATTTCCGTGAAGCCTGGTGAAGCCCATAATATTCTCTCTAGATATCGATCGGGATACAGTTGTGAAGAGCAGCTCATCACAACAAACAGGGTTACCATTTTTAACGGCAATACCTTGCATAGAAGTGAACATAAGCGATGCGTGGAAGCGCTGTAAACAACCCGTTTAATTTGTTGCAACTTGCTCGAATATCGAAGCCTAACGAGGCAAATCGACCCGGCTGCAGCGTAGCTTATTGGTTTAACATTTCTCTTCTTTGAAGTACAACACGAATTTAAAGAGCCGTCTCCCAATATTTTTGCATCTTTGACGTCTAAGATTGACATAAAGGAGCATCTGTGGCGAAATTATGATGAAACCATTAAAGGCAGATTCAGGCTTGTGGGAGTATCGATTAAACGTAATTTTAACGCTTTGCACTGAATGTTAGAAACGCTTATAGCTCTAGAAGTTTGTTTTCCTTTTGCTATCCGAATGCAAACTTAAACACTTCATGGGAAATAAAAGCTTTAAAATAGAAACTAGTTGTCTGCTTTCGATTCATTTTTCTTGGAAAAGCGGTGAATATAGAATTCATTGTCGTCGCGTGACTTGTATGTTCTTTGACTGTCGGTGTCAAGAATCGACAAGAAACGAAAACATCGGAAACAGCTAGCTATCTTAGGGATGAAAATTTACTTCGACGTTTTGAATAGTGTCACTGAGGGATGCGCCCCTTCCCAGACAGCTCAGTTCACCGTTTGCTTCGTCACGGCTCAAGGCGTCGGTTTGAATTTCACCGATTTGGACAGAAGGCTTTAACAGTTTTTCAATCTTTGGTTTGTCTCAGTTTGGCTGTGAGCCCTTACAACACATTAACTGGCTCATTAGTGACCTAGTAAACTGTCGTAATCGTTAACATACATTTATAAACCGGCCGCTGATGAGACACTGAGAGGCGCAATAGACGTGGGGTGATTTGTTTAATGGCGGCGTGACCGCTCTAAGCTAATAACCATATGAAAAAGTGTTTTGTTTTTGTTTTTGTTTTTCCTTTATTTTGACGACCTGGGGCCAAAACAAACGTCTGGAACAAGAACCAACGTCACTTCAATAGCCCAATGAAAGTTTCTTCTCGCCAGACGTTATTAACAATTACGGTCTGGAGTTATAAACTTCTCTGCAACTAACCCCTGGAGGCCACAATTATTTTAAGAAATTCGACTAATCTAGTTCGTGTAACCAGAATCCCAAGTGGAAAGAAAAGAAGAGTGATTTCTTGTAACATTTACTATCGGTGCGTCAGCTTGTTCTCGCAAATGACTCTCTACTTTAATTTCTTGATTTAACTAGAAAGGGCGGATGGAATTTAGGTTTTTGGGAAACTGCCCACCAACCCCTCCCCGAAGCCAACAGATACACCGTTTCGGTGTAAGTGTAGGGTAAATTAGCCGATCACGTAGCCCTAAATACGGGTAAATTGCCTCTTACCGGAGAGAAACGGGTAGGCTACCGGATAGAAAGGTTACGCCATTATCACATCTGGGAAATAATGATTGCCTATTATAAAATTACGAGGTAAACATGTTCGGTTTCGTAGGCTGAAACTGTGTTTCCTTTAAATGTCACTACATGTATTAACATGTACTTTTCACGTGGGGCAAAATGTTGACCTTAGGGGAGGGGTAGGTGGGCAGTTTCCCAGAAACCTATATTGATCCGAAATGGATGATATTTCTATAGAATGATGATGTGAACTGCAAATGCGGAAATACAAATTTAAATGAAGATATGATCTTCAAAAAAAAAAAAGAAAAAAAAATCGGGACTTCAACGGGATTCGAACACATGGGCTCTGCGTTAACGCTGCAGATATTTCTATACTACAATGCTACAATCCAACGATCCTACAATAATTTCGTTGGCATGGAAACTCTCGGAGTGACCGTGTCAATTTTTCTTCCTGATGCTTTTGGCGATCTTCACACTAAACCGGGTAGCCTTTTCTGCCGAATTTAAAAGCTACCCGTTGTAGTGTGAACGCCTATACGATATGTGACTCTCCACTTTAGAGATCGGCGAGGTGCAGCTTAGCTCCGTCACAGAAATCGCGCCAAAATCACCGTCCTAATGTGTGAACAGAAGCCCTATCTGGTATTGTTTACGTGCCGGGGCAAAAGCTATCCGGTATCCCTTCTTTGGGATCCCTGTGGCATTCTGCGCGCGCGAGGTTTTGCGTGAGATTTCAGTGTTTGTCGACGTAAAGTCGAGAACGACTATAATTATCGGAGTTTTCTCTTGAATGTCTTTCCCCAGAATTATACGAAAGTTTTGTTTAAACGATTTTAGGAAACGCACTGTACAATTGAAGAGATATATTTCGCGGCATTCACTCCGCCAATTTTCAGCAGTGCAAGCCAAGAAGGTACCGTGTAAATTTAGATGGAAATGTGCTGTTAGTGACACATTCTGATCATCAAAGTTTTTTTAGGGTAGGACACACCAGGTTATTTTTTCCTTGCGTTACCTCTTAAGGCTGTTGTTTGCCATCTGCGGACTCGCACCTGATGTCGGATTCATAGGACAGAAAAGACTTAGGGAAGATCGACAATTGTCGGCGGCGTCATGAATCGTAGTCGCTAGAATCAGAGCGTTCCCTTTTTCCTCCATTTCCGCAAGTTGCTTTGATTTCCACTTGATAAGCTCTGCGCGTCTGATTCCGACCCTGTCTGCAGACAAACTGTCCTTATCAATTTAAACATGCGAATGAAACGAAACGAGACTGTTTCTAAGTCCTGATGCGACAGGAAGTCGCTTGATAAGAGCCCTTGCTTTGTGTGGTGACATTCGTGGATAAAGAAACGTAAACTGCAGAACAGGCGTTAATTATTTCTTCGCGCTTTTCAGGCGAGAAAAGTCAAGCGCAAAGCGACGGGGGAAGGCGAAACAGTAACGCCGCGCCCGTCCTCAAACCACTGTTTGTGCTCTTTTGCCGTTCATGTAGTGAACGCAGCTATCCAGTTAGTCAATTTCCGCGCCTTTCCCGTCGCGCGTGTCTCGCGAAGAATCGAAGATGCTCTTTGAAAAATTAGAATTAAGCTCACTTAGATACTAATCTGGGCGTGGCTTTATACACCAACATAGTATAGTATCGCAGATAATGACAGCAATTCTTTTCAAAGATATGTCTTTAATTACAGTCGTAAGAGATCTTTGTATGGGTAATATTGGCGTTCCGTCTTGAAGATCCTTAAGTCGGACCAAAATCTGTAATCTACACCCCAAAGCGAGATAAAGAGCATCTTCTTTCTTTTCGTATATGGGAGTCCTCCTTCTCACCGGATTAAATTAAGCCACACTGTTTTTTGTTCTTCTTGTTGTTGTTTTTCGAGACCGTTATTTGACTATAACCTTAACTATTGACACTACATCTAATTGACTTTTAACCACAGCAGGATTAGCTCAGTCGGTAGAGCGCTTGACTGCAGAACAGGGGGCGTGGGTTCCATTCCCGGGACCGGACCAATACTCAGGGTCTTAAAATAACTGAGAAATGAAAGTACTGCTTTTGCCTTGCTTGCAAACGGCTAGACCTTCCCGTGGCTCCGATGACCACGTAAAATGGTGGTCCGGTCTCCAATAGGAGACGTAAAAATAGTATCCTCAATTAGTACATTAGTGCTAAATAGATTGACACTCAAATAAAGGGCTTTTTTTTTTGTTTTAGATGAAGTACAAGAACGTAGATGATTTTATGCAGCAAGTTGTTATAGCAAAGAACCCGGGTGAACACGAGTTTCATCAGGCCGTCGAAGAAGTTATAAGCTCCTTATGGGACTTCCTAAAGGAAAACCCCGCCTACCTTGAGGGCAACATCTTAGAGCGCATCGTGGAACCAGAAAGGGTCGTCATCTTTAGGGTCCCTTGGAGGGATGACAAAGGAGAGACCCATGTTAACAGGGGCTTCCGTGTGGAGTTCAATTCAGCCATTGGCCCTTACAAAGGGGGTCTGCGCTTCCATCCCTCTGTCAATTTAGGAATTCTTAAGTTTCTTGGATTTGAGCAAGTGTTAAAAAACAGTCTCACGACCCTTCCTCTCGGAGGTGGAAAAGGAGGTTCGGATTTCGACCCGAAAGGAAAGAGCGACAACGAGGTAATGAATTTTTGCCAGTCATTCATGTCCGAGCTTCAGAGGCACATCGGCCCAAACACGGATGTCCCGGCCGGAGATATTGGCGTGGGAGCAAGAGAAATCGGTTACCTGTTTGGCCAGTACAAGAAAATACGCAATGAATTCACCGGGGTGTTGACCGGTAAATCGTATTCGTTTGGGGGAAGTTTGCTACGACCGGAAGCCACCGGGTACGGCCTCGTGTACTTCACCGCGGAGATGCTAAACACGCGACGCGAGACCTTCAGGGGAAAACAGGTTACGGTATCTGGGTCCGGGAACGTGGCACAGTTTGCGTCTGAGAAAGTCATGCAACTGGGTGGCAAGGTGGTAACGCTGTCTGACTCAACAGGGACCATCTACGACCACTCCGGCTTGGACAAGGAAAAGATCGAGTACGTCAAATATCTGAAAAATGTAAAACGCGGACGCATCAGCGAGTTTGTGGAGAAGTTCCCCGATGCAGAGTTCTTCCAAGGGAAGCGGCCATGGTTTGTAAAATGTGATGTCGCTCTACCATGCGCAACTCAAAACGAAGTGAGCAAGGAAGACGCGGAAATGCTGGTCGAAAATGGCTGCTACTGTGTGGCAGAAGGCGCGAACATGCCCACGGAGCCGGAAGCCATTGAAGTGTTCCAGAAACACAAGATCCTATACGGGCCTGGTAAAGCGTCCAACGCCGGGGGCGTGGCAGTTTCCGGTCTGGAGATGTCTCAAAACAGCTTACGTCACGCCTGGACCCGTGAGGGTGTGGACGAACGCTTGCATGACATCATGGAGAGCATTCACAATACCTGCGTCATGTATGGTACCTCGAAAGATGGCTACACCGACTATGTAAAGGGCGCGAATATTGGCGGCTTCATGAAGGTGGCTCAATCCATGATAGAACAAGGAATTGTTTAGAGATTTCATTGAACCATGTCGTGAATTTTAACGTAACAAAACTTTTTCTTTAGAACTGTAAAGTACTTCTTTATCTAGGAATGTTCAAAAACAGTCCATGGACACTGTGGTCAACGAAAATTCATCAGGAGGATAGATTAGCTCTTCATTCATATACTAGGTAATTTGAACTGCCATCATTTATTTAAAATAATTATCTTATTTTGTTAAGCCATCTACAGCTTTGCGGCCCTAAGAATTTAGATCCTAGTTAGTCCTGTCTCTTTCCCTGTCTCTATAAGAAACTTAGTTTAATTACGACGTTTTACTCAGGTAATACAGAACAAGTGTAAAGATTGGTGATTTGCGTGTGGCTGCTTGTTAATAGCTTGAGGCTTCTAACGATTGTAGAAAGAAAGAAAGTTAATTATTGGGTTATGTATTTATGTGGTGTGTAACACGTATAGTTGAATTATTGAGCTTGTACTCAGTACCATAGGAGACGCCAGCTCATTTTTACGAAATGAAACTTTATGAAATGTAAAAAATGAAGAAAATAATAGTGTTTGAAAATATGTTATTTCTGACGAATGAGCCAGCGAAGAAGACAGAAATAAATATTTTGACGGCACGAGATACAACAGGGCCTGGGTACTAGGCCGGGTGCACCATGGGTAGCCATATCGGGGGTATATAAGGCAGCGTATATCACGTGTACGTCATCTAGGCTTACAAACCAACCTCTCTTTGGTTTTTCTTAACGCTCTTATCGGCTCTTTCTTGCGTTATATCCGTCAGCAAAGACGAAGTGTCCGATCTCATTTAGGAGAATAACAAACAGTTAATGGACTCGTTTAAAGATTTGTTAACAGAAACCGTTGGTCAAATCAAGCGCGCTAACGAATATTTTGCCGAGCAGCAGATGAAAGAAATTAAGAAACTAAAGTATAGCGAACCACGTAAGTTCAAGAAGAAGGCCAACGAAGACCAGTTTCAAAGGATCCACAGTGCAGAATTTTGCGGCCATGTAGCGTACTAGGCCGGTAAGACGAAGAAGACCACTCTTTCAAGTCTCAACAACAGATCCTCGCCAGTGGGAACGCCGGCGTCCACCCCAAGTTTACAGATGCAACCCCAGCCTCTTATGTCAAACGTTCCTGTTTTTCGCCTTCTCGTCGACCCAGTGTCGGGACCTGTTTTGCCTGTGGAAAGCGTTCCTGTTACCGGACGATGGACAAGCCAAACATCCCAAACGGCTTCATGAAGGACAACAATCAGGTGCAGTCTATTCTAATTTAGTACTGAATTTTTTAAGCGGCAAGGCGTAATATGGATCAGGATTGTCTTGATGTTATACCAGTTTCTTCTGACGTTCACCCCGCTAGTTTTAGGCGCGGTTTAGAGCTCTGAGAGTACCGTTGATATTTCTATTCTACCTTCAGTTTGGCGAATATTTTTTTTTCACAGTGATCTATTTCTGGCATACTTTGCTAGTTTCTCTGTTCATTTTGAATGTTATTAGTCTTAGTTACTAAATTCCCTTCTTCCAGCTTTTTATGTTTTTTTACTAATCCTACAATGCCTCTGCACGTGTTTACAGTTCCTTTTGTCCGTAGCTGTTAATGAGCTTCCCAGTCTCAACCTCCTTTCAGAAATTTTTTGCATTCCAATATCATTTACCCGCTTTCTGTTTGACCCGCCGCTCCGTCTAACAAAGGTTAATGCTGGATTTTAGGCACGTTTGCACCTTTTTCTACAAACAGAAATTCGAGTGCGAAGACTTGTCCATGGCCACTTAAATTTTTGAGATGGGTTTTTATTTATTTATATTTTATCCGCTAGTGCGGTTATTGTTATTTTCCCTGATCACCGGTATTTCCTTGCGTTCACCTGGGATCTCGGCACCTCGATTTTTAGGTATTTTCTACTTTGTGCGCTTCCCTTTGGGTTCTTGTCAGCCTCCCTCAAACCGCTTCAGAAATCAAGAAGAAGCCAAGGTATCCCTACTGCCATTTTTCTTTACTATGGTCTAGCTATAGGAGGAGGAGCCTATCGCGTTCAGGCCAAAATTTACAGTTTGCGGGCTGTCCATGCCGATTTGCCTTAGTCTCGCTTTGTTCGAATTCCTAATAAGGATAAGTCCCTGT